TCCGTGACGTTCCGAGGCTCCGGCCACTCTTGGACGGCCTGAATCTTGTCCGATAGCGGACTGATGCCCTCCGGTGTGACAAAATGGCCCAAGTGTTCCAACTCTTGCCGGACAAATTCGCACTTGTCGCGGTTGGCCTTCTACTTGGCACGGCGGAGCATCTCCAACACTCGTCGAAGATGTCCAAGATGATCCTCCAATGTCCGGCTGTAGACGAGAATATCGTCTAAGTAGACCAGCACGAACCGGTCCAACATTGCACGAAACTCATTGGTCATCACCGCCTGGAATGTCGCCGGGGTGTTGGTGAGGCCAAAAGGCATGACCACCCACTCAAAATGCCCGTACCGCGTCTTGAATGCGGTTTTATAGCGATCATTCGGCTGAATCAAGATTTCATGATATCCGGATTTCAAATCCAACTTGGAAAAATACTTCGCACCGCCCAGCCGCTCGAGAAGATCGTCGATGCGAGGAAGAGGCCCCGCATTCTTGACGGTTTGCGCATTGAGCTTGCGGTAGTCGATACACAATCGTAGATCCTTGTTCTTCTTCCTGACGAAGAGAACTGGTGCTCCATATGGGGAGCTACTCGGACGGATCCAGCCCTTGGCCAACAAATCATCGAGTTGTCCGCGGAGTACCTCGAGCTCCTCCTCACTCATCCGATAGATGTAACCTTTCGGCGGCACGGCACCGGCCTCAAGAATGATCTCGTGAGAGATCGGCCGACCCGGCACCACACCAGTAGGTGACTCAAAGATGTCAGCGAACTCGTCCAGCAACCGTACCACACGGGGGTCCGAAGACAAGTCCGTGGGTGAAGAGTCGGCTACCGCGACGGTCCGTAGGAAACATATGCCGATCTCCTCGGGCTGCTCGTAAGCACAAGTCGCCCGGAATGATCTGACCGTCACCACTTGGCACCGGATCGAAGAGTGCGGTAGAGGAATCGTACACGCCACTTCCACGCCGAGGGCGTCGTGAACGCTAAGAGTCCGCCGATGGAAGTTGACCGTGTGATCCGCACTTGCAAGCCAAGGCATTCCCADAATGATGTCGAAGTCCGTGTCGAGACTATCAAATGTCACCGGTTCGCATGCATGAGGTGCGAAGTAGACCGGTACGGCGTCGATGTAACGGTTGAGTAGTTGCTGCGTCTTTCCATCCGCCAACTTGATCGCCGTCGGGTTTGCCTTTCTCTGAACTTGTGCGCCAAGGCCAACTCTTTGCATAAAAGACTGGCTCATGAAGTTGCGAGTTGCGCCGCTATCCAGCAAAGCGCTGCAGGACGCTTGCCCAACCTGGATGTGGACATACATGAGCGGTGCATTGTTGTTATCGTACCGCTTCGTGCGAAACTCGCGGGCCACCTTGGTAACGTACGCCAGGATGTCCCCCACCGCGACTTCGTCATCCGTCGGCGAAGTTGGTGGTGCATAGAAGGATAAGTAAGTGTGAAGATAAGCGCTAAGTGCTGCGCATTGCGGTCCCGGCAAACAGCCTGTGGTCGGGAGAGGAAGCCATGCAAAGTCCTCGGACGTGAGCGGGTCCAAAACCTCTATCTTGAACTCGCGCGCCGAATCCTGTGACGAACCACTTGAAGACGATATGTCGCTGTTGCCGGACGGAGAAGAAACCGCACACACTCCTTGTCCTTGAGCTTGAGTACCCAGCGTTGGAACGAGCCGGGCAGCATAGTCCTCAAAAGAAAATAGAAGCGGAGGACTGTCAACTTCCGCGCCTCGGAATGAAGGCTGGTTACTCGCGAAGAAACCAGTTCCGAAGGCGTCGAGAGTGTCGTCGCGTCACTCTCGGCGGTGCTCAGTTTCCCTGTCAACCCTTGCCCTTCAGTGGGCAAACCGGCGTCAGATGAAGATCGTTGTTGCACCACAGGCAATAATGGAATCTCTCGCGCGCCTTATATGCGGACTCGGAGAGGCCATACGGGGTCCATGGGCCTGTCTGAGCTGCTGCACCGGGCCCGGGGCTAGAAACGGTGTGTGTCTTCGGCTTGCCGCGCCCTCGGCCTCTGCCGGCGCGGCCACCTTCCCAGGCGGCTGCGAATCTGTCTCCTTCAATGTCAGACGCAGTCTCGCTGGTTTGGTCTAACGGCGCTGCTGCTGCGACCACGGCCACTCGTGGATGATGCTGGTTCCCGCTCGGGCCTGACGCAGAAGAACGGAGGTTCTTCGCCTCCTTGTTCGTAACGATGATYTGCGCAGCCTTGTCGAATAGTTCTGCCGTCGTCGTCAAGGTGTCCTCRACATGCGTCAGGGCATTGCTCAATGTCGGACATGACCTTGAGATGAAATAGTGGCGGATGGCCTTGAAGCCCATCTGGATGTCTGGGACTGACGTCAAGCGTTGGTACTCGGCGATCCAGTCYGTACTCGGCAGCGAGCTTTGCTCGAARACCATAAGCTTGTCCATGGCTTTGATCTCTGGCGGCTCMACCTGGAACCGCTTGTGCCACGCCGCCTTCAGATCATCCCAGCTGATCATGGTGTGCAAGTCCGCTGCTACCACTCCGTACKTGGACAACAAGTTGTCCAACCACGCMTGACACRCGCCCCCTGAGCGAGAGTACAAGTAAGCGTGGTGCTTGTTTTCCTTGACGTTGTGGAGCTGCAGCGTGAGCTCAAACTTGCGAAACCATGGAATCGGATCTGTCTTGATTGAGTCGTGGAAGATCTCCTGCCCATCGAACTTAGGAGCTGTCTCGCGCGGCTCCGGACTCGAGGTGGTGGCGGTAGTGCAGATCCGCTGCTGCAATTGTTGCGTCGCGGTCTGCTGTAACTGTGCGCCATCCTGGAGGGAGCCGACGTGCATCTCCAATGCGGTGAGGCGGTCGTCAGTATTGGAAGAGCCTACGTCGGCGGCGGCGACTGGTCACTGCTCCACCCGCTGAAGGCCGTCTTGGAGCTGAGCTACCGAGTTGTCGAGACCAAGGATCTCCGCCTGCTGTGTAATGCAGGTTGCCAGGAGATCCGTGAGATGCGAGAGGAGGAGCGCTATCTTGTTTGCGCTGTCCTCCAACTGGCTGTTCTCGGCCTCGCTTCGCCATTCTGCTGCCATGGTAAGTAACGCCCGCTCTCCGGTGAATATCTTTTCACGACGCTGTGTTCTTTCTTCATCATCAGCCCTTGCTGTTGCCTCGTCGTGCTGGCGCTGTTGTTGCACGGCCAGCAGACGTGCCTGTTCGGCATCCTCTGCCCTTTTCTTGGCTGCTGGGGCAGCGTCATCTGCCCGCTTCTTTGTCTCGGTACTCCAGGCTAACATGCGGGCCTGATAGGCCTCGTCTGTTTCCCCGACCTTCTGGTCCATGACTGCTGTTTGTGAACGCAACAGCATAGACCAAACCGGTGCCTGCTGATGTGGTATCCCTTGCTGCTGACGTGTCCTGCTGACGTGGTCTGCTGGCGTACTTACGTAGCCTGCTGACGTGTCCTGCTGACGTGGCAACTTACCAATGTCGTCACAAGGGGTACCCGGACACAACCATAAACGACAAGGCGAGAGATGGCAACAACGTAGGTGGGGAGGGGTGGGTGGGATAATCGCCCAACTCACACTTAGATAAGGAGCCACTAATCAAACCAGAAAAGTTTGAACTTTGCAAAAACAAATTTCGAGAAACTAAAAAAAATAAAAATCCCGATTTTTTTGCAAGTTCGGTAGGTCTCCCAATCTCCCTTGAAGTACGAAATGATCTCTGAAAGCGAAAAAAAAATTCGACTTTAGACTGCAACCGATTTATAGAACCAACTGACAGAATCCAAGAGCTGCGAAAAAAGTCCGAACAGAAATGACAACTATTTGGATTTATTCCGATGGGAATATTCGCAGTTTGAAGAAAAATAATACGTGCAGGAGGTATTTCCCGTACCGTTTTCAGAAAAGGAATTTCAGACAAGAGATATCTCGAAGTTCTAAGTACAGGAAATGCAACAGAAAATCGAAACTTTCAAAAAGAAATATATTCCGGATTTTTTAACAACGAAATTTCGAATTTTCAGAAAGAAAAACGAAAATAGGAATTTCAGATATTGCGATATAGCAGAAAATAAAATCCAAGAAAAGAAAAAAATTTCGATTTTTTTTTTTTTTKWAGTAAGGTCAAGATCGTGATTTTGGGGTCTAACTAGTATGTCCTAATCAACAGAAAAGACTAACTAACTTTCTTGATCCCCGCACACGTGTCAGATCAGATAGTCCTGATTCACGTGCAAAAGCTCCGATACCAACTGTTACATGCATAGATATGCAATGTATGCAATAAAACGAGAATCTGCAATGTGATGAAAAGGACTGAATAGACAATGTGGTTACGAGAATCTCGACCAGCAATGTACATTCTCATTCATACATGAAGATGCTGAAGAGCGCAGGGAAGACTTGATACAAAGACTGACCTGACAGGACTGACCTCACCCACGTAGTTCGGAGTAACGAAGCAGAATGCCAGAGTGCTACTAACTAGCCCAATCAATGTTGAACTCAGACTAAACATGCATTGTATCCATCACCGAGTGTGAAGGAGCCCGGCGCTGTAACACAAGAAGCAAGCGCCAGGTCCAGACATACACAGACGAAGAGGTAAGGGATTAGACGAAAAGGAGGGAGGAAGATGGGAATGTCGTTAACACCAAGTCTTGGTCACCAATCCCAAATAGTCCCTCGTTGCCATGTCTGAATCCCCAAAAAGTCRAGTCYGGATCATATGTCACCAAGCCCGGTATCWCTTCTCTCGTAGTCTGCAACYGCAGGGAAGTWAGAAGTTGAGAGGGKAAGAAGAAKATGGTAGACTGAGAAGAGGAAGAAGAGAACTCTCTCTCTCTCTCACTGTTACGAACCAGGTACTAACCTGTGATGTTGGCGCTGTGCTGCAGGTACCTTGAAGAYGAAGCTGGAGCAACGGCGCTGCAGGTAAGTGATCCCTGGCCTCCGCYCATCAGTTCTACCACTACCTAGCTATGGCGCCCARCGTCGAAGACTACAGCTACCTACTGCGCCCAGCGCTGAAGACTACTAGCTAACGCTACTCTACTACAACGCAGCGCTCCCTCCAGAGTGCTGCTCCCGAATCCTRAAGACTACARCTGCCGAACTGCCTACCTCGGAAGTGCCTGGGAAGTCCTATGTACTACCTCGGCCTGCCTCYTGACTATTGGAGGGGAGTCAGGCCGTGGAGGCAGCTCTTGCCAATGCCGAAATGTGCCAGGGGCTGGCGTGCAGCWGCCTGCTTGAGGCTGGCGTGGGAAACAGACTAATAATAGTCTGTTTCCGAAACCCTGGTTCGGTGCCTGAGTTTCAGGGCCGGTCGTTCTGATGAACGACCGAAAATGGCCGTTCGTTTCAGGCTAAAAAGGCTGTTGCCATTTTTAGTCTGAAAGGACCAGGGATAGGCCCTGGACTTCAGGCTTTTGGCCTGAACCGACAGGGGGCCTGTAAGCCCTGGATTTCAGGCTTTCAGCCTGAAATTCAGGCTTTCGGCCTGAAGTTCAGGCTTTTGGCCTGAACGCTGTCGGGCCTGCAAAATGGCCGTCGGGCCTGCAAAATGGCCCGTGTGTGCACGCGCTGCATGTAACAGCCTGCCTCAGTTACATTGGAAAGAGGCAGCCTGTGCCTGGGCGCTCTCAACCAACTGGTGCTGCACAACTGCCTGAATTTCCCAGTTGCGTGGTGACCCCAAAAATGGCTTGTAGGCCTCGGTCGAGCCTGCCTTCACTTAGGGCGGCCGACTGTGGTGAAAATAGGGCCAGTAGGGCGTATCGTGGCCTTGTGCCTCGCATTCCCTTCTCCATACTTCGCTAGTCCTCCGAGAAGTTCAGTCTTCAATAATCTGACGCTTTCCCTTCTGCAAAGATTTTTCATATTGGGCCACAGCCTGAGGAGCGGTCTGCATCAGTTCCTCCCTGGTAAACCATCGATCCTCCTTTGGATCAGTATGATGTTTGAACCGAACCCGGTACTGCAGCTTCGGTTTCAGAGGACGTCCCCTGCCTGTCGGTCTTGGAACTGGCATTTCCTTGTGGTCAACAATGTCGTCGATGTCGACCTCTCCATCCATGGTTGGGGGCAGCATTGAGCGACAAGAGGGAAACTGATATGTTCCCCTGAAAGGTGTGAGTCTGGAAGCGTGAAACACAGGGTAAATACGTAAGTGACTAGGGATGCGAATAACATATGACGGCCCATCCGGTTCATCCCCAACAACATCTAGGACCTCCTATGGTCCAAAGTACTGTGGCATGAGCTTGCGGGAAATCCCGTGCTCCTGTCTTTGTTCTAAGGACTTAACCCATACTCTCTCTCCTACCTGAAACGTAGACGGGCGGCGACGCTTGTTCTCAGATTCTACCATCGTAACCTGAGCCTTGTGCATTTGTTCAACAGCCTACTGCATCAGGCACTCATAACAATAAGCAAATTCTAAGGTTCCTGGTGCAGCAGAAGGTTGGTTCTCAAATAGTAAGAAATCTAAGGGCAGTCTAGGCTTGAATGTCAATAGTAGATTGTTCGGGCTCACTCCCGTTGCACTGTGCACAATGTATTGTACAGGCTGGCGATGAGAGCAAGTTTCTCATCCCAGTCTACCTGATTAGGCTTGATGTAGTGCCTCAGCAGGTGTTGTACAACGCGGTTCAACTGCTTTGCTTGCCCATTCGCCTCTGGATGGTTCCTCGATGTCATTTGCAGCGGCGTTCCCTGCTCTGCAGCTGCGACTTTCCACAGTTCACTAGTGAATCGCACATCACGGTCACTGACTATAGATTTTGGCAGTCCAAAAGCTCTGACCCAGTTCTCTTTGAACAACTTAATTACGTACGCAATCTTAACTGTTGCAGGCATTGCGACTAACCTAGCGTACTTACTAAATCTATGCGCAAATCTTGCTGGTGACTAGCGTATCCATGAAGTCCATGGACAGACTCTCACCAGGCCTTTCCGGAATTGGAAGGGGCTTTAGAATCCCAAGAGGAGCCTGTGTACGTGGCTTGTCCCACTGACAATTTTGACAAGTTTCTACGTACAGCTTGGCGTCTCTCATCATCGTGGGCCACCAGAGCCACTGCAGCAGATTGGCTGCTGTCTTTTTGTAGCGAAAATGTCCGGTGGCATCGTGACACTGGCCTAAAAATAAAGTACGCAAAGACTCTTTATCCGGCACACACAATCTTTTATTCCCGGCCTTCTCAAGGAACAGCAAACCGTTAACCAACTCAAACTCGACAGAAGTCACCTTGTCCTTCGCCTCGAGTCTGCGTATGATCTCGGACATGAACTAGTCCTTGCGATAGGCTTCCACCAAAGAGCGAGTGACATCGTCCGCAAGCTCGAACTCAGCGATCAGCGCACCAGAGAAGTCAGACCTATGTGATAAGGCATCAACAACTTTGTTGTACCCCCCTTTCAGATACCGAGGTTCGAAGTCATACTGTTCAATGACTTCGATCCATCGCTTCAATGCATCGGAGAGCACTGGCTGGGTTCTCATCCACTTCAGGGTCTGATAATCAGTCCTGACGATGAAGAACCTCCCAAGGAGGTAATGTCTCCTATGGGTCAGTGCCTTGTAAATCGCGTAGAGCTCCTTCTCATAGGTGGACTTATCCAACTTATAAGACAACATCGTTTTGGACATGTACTCGACTGGCCTCAACTTTGACCTCCTGCAGTGCAAGCACGACACCAATGCCATGTTGGCTAGCATCCCTGGTTACTATGAACGGCTTGTCAGGATCAGGACGTTTTAAGACCTCATGGTGTGTCAACGCATGCTTCAAATTTATGAAAGCAGCCTCACACCTGTCTGTCCACTCCCACGAGGTGTCAAGGCGAGTCAAGTCAGTCAAAAGGTCAGCCACTATACTATAGTTCTTAACAAAGTTACGGTAGTAGCCGGTCGTCCCTAAGAAAGACCTCATCTCAATCATAGACTGAAGACGCGGCCAGTCACGAATGCTGACCACCTTTGCGTCATCGGGCTTCAAACCCTCCGCGGAAATCTTATGACCCAAGTACAAGATCCGGGTGCGACCAAACTTACATTTCTCCCCATTGATCTTGAACTTGTGCTGCCGAAGGAGACTGAAGACTTTGTCTAAGTGTGCAATATGCTCCTCGACAGTCCTACTAAAAATAAGAATGTCATCGAGGTACACGATGACAAACTTATCCAAGTCGTCATGAAAGATCCGATTCATAGCGTGCTGAATTCAACTCCGCCGCCTCGCGCATTCTGCCGCTTCGCGCTCTCATAGCGCACAGCCATTCGCACACCGGCTGCTGCTGGTTGGAGTCAGTGTTGGGGGGATCGAGTCCCGGCTGCAGTGTGCTCCTGGAGGGTTTGTTCACGTTGTCAATGTGGCGGGGGTTAGGATGGCGCATTTCGGAGTTGCGGATGGCCGCGGAGCTCGTGCAGGGCGATAGACGACCTTTCGGATAGCGCTTTCTGAGTCGCAGGAGGTGCGCACGTGGTGGTATTCCACGGGGGAGAAAAAATACCTGGCCGCGATGTGGGTATGAGGGCCCCGACAGAAAAATTGCGGGGTCACGGAGGCGGGTTGCGTCGATTGTGGGAGCTGTTGCCCCTTGGGGGCTTTACCAGAAAAAATCATGAAAAAATCAGGTCCATCGTAGGGGGGAGGTAGATAGGAGTAGGAGTAGGCTAGCTTCGGGGGGGGCTGCCTCAGATGGGTTCTTCCATAGCAGGGGTGGGCGCCACAGGGGTATGGGTGCGGCTGGGTGCGTTACGCCTCCCGGCACAAATGTCTCGGTGGCAACTGTGGTCTGAGTTCGGGGGTGCCCTAATGTGTTGCACGCGGCTATGGAGCGTCGGCCATAGTCGATACCCTCCCATCTTCCAGGGTACGTGAGGTAGAGTGCTGTCTCCGGAGTGTCTCAGCTGGTTCAGTGAGTGTGTGTGTTAGGGGGTGTGGGGCGGGGGTGGGGCATACGATACCATTGTGAGCAGGGCCGTCAGGGTGGGTCTCGCTTGGCGAGTGTAGTACCCGCTCCGAGAGCGTAGGAAGGCTCGACGCGCCGGCCTGGCTGGCGGGACTGCCCTCAATGGCCGTGCGATAAGGACCCCCCTGAAGCCGTCTCCAACCTGCACAACCTTTTTAAAAAAAAAGAAAGATGCCAGGAGCATTGCAGAGGCCGAAAGGCATCACCACAAACTCGTATAGACCGTGCCTGGTCTGAAATGCGGTTTTGTGTTGATCCTCGGGCCGTTTTGCAATCTGATGGTACCCGGACTTCAGATTTGTCTTACTGAAGTACCGGCACCCTTGCACTTTATCTAGCAAGTCATCGATGCACGGTAGGGGCTCTCGGTTCTTGACAGTGATGGCATTGAGGCCCTATAGCCAATGCACATCCTCAAAGTTCCCCTCTTCTTCGGCACAAATAAGACTGGAGATCCGTAAGGGGAGACACTCGGTCGGATCCAACCCTTCTCTACGAGTTCCTTGAGTTGCTAGCGAAGCTCATCAAGCTCGCCTGGAGACATCCAATAGATCCTACCCTTCGGAATGCTAAGCTCATCAAGCTCGCCTGGAGACATCCAATAGATCCTACCCTTCGGAATGCTAGACCCTGGGATAATCTCTATTGCGTGGATGGCCTCCCTCTCAACAACCCCTTTCGGCTCTTCAAATAGATCAAGGTATTTAGGAACTACTCCCTCTATCTCAAGTGGCATTTTCACCGGCTCGCCTGCTGCACAGACATAAACTAGATACATACCCTCGTCCGGATTTTGCTTATAAAAGTTATAGAATGCGGCCGCACACATGCATCCGTAGGACTCAATCAGACTACTAGCTTTGAACTTACGTAATCTGGCGGTCCCCCCACCTGGCAAAGTGTGTTTGACCACTTTTTGGTCCCAGTCAAACTGGGGCTGTGCAATGGAGAGGTAGTACATACCTAACAAGATATCCATAGGGGGATCATCGCTCACTAGGAACGAAACGCGATGTCTCAGTTCCCCTCCCGCGTACGGGAAACAACACTCAAGGTTCTGAAGGTAGTCGTGGACTACCCTGCGCTGTTTGTTGGCACAGGTCGACTTAGGCGCTGCACTTGCCCCTGTAAGCGTGGCCTCTCAACGCACGCGCAACTAATGAAGTTCCTAGTCGAGCAAGTGTTATAATAGGCCCCGGCCTTACGACCGCTGATGACTACCCCGCCGACGAACATCTCACTCCTAGGGGCTTTTGCCAATGTCGTCCAAGAAGCTATCGGGTCTGATTTGGAACACTCCTCTAGCTCCTTCAAGGACTCAAACACATTCATCGAGCAGGGGCTCGATGGGTTTGAATGTGTTTGCGGGACGACGATGGAGTCAGTAGCTTGGGCCATCTCTTGAGATGGTGAGGGTGTGTCCACCACCTCGACCTTAGCAGGAACAACTACTATTCCTACTGGCCCAACGCGTTTCCCGGAGTAGTGCCAGAACTGCTGGCTACATTGCTACCAATGGGAGCGGAGGATCCCAACTCCTGCCCCATTGTAGGCGGGATCTTCTCGGTACCCTTTTTGTTACGGCACTTGAATTGATTATGGCCATATTAGCCACAACGAATACAAGCCTGCCAGGTGTACCGATCTCTCCACACGTCCTCTGTTACACCCGCTTTCTCCCATGGAGGAGCGTTGGGGTCAACTTGACTCCTAGACTGGGAGCCTCCACGACATCTATCGGTCGCCTTACCTTTTTGAACTGAGACAGCGACTACTCTACCCCCTGAAGTCTCTACGCTGCCTGCCTCTTAACCCACTCCCACCTGGAAGTCGTCTTCTAACTCGATGGTAGAACGATCGTTGTCGATGATTATGATGCGACCTTTTACCTTCCAGTTGGGAGGCAGTGACTTCTTCCTACCATCCGTCGTGGGTGCCTGACCATGCCCTATCTTTGCTTCAAGGTCTAGGGCCTTCTTGCTAAATGAGGGGAAGTTGTGCATGTTGATGTTGGCCTCACCTGCTAATTGATTCCTGGGAGGCATAGGGAAACATCTCAGGTAGGAGGTGAGTAGAACACGGGGGTCATAGCGCACCCTAGGGACACAGATCAGATGCTCTACTCCTCCTGTGGCCTCTCTTACTAACTTAAACTGTCTATGGTTCAAAGTCAAGATCGCATCAGTGGCTTTTGGGGCCTCCTGAGGATCATGCCACCTAAATTTCCACCAGCTTGAGGAAGTCATGCAGTTTCTAATTGACTGTCGAAGCGTGGAAGTCATGACTGTATCCCTACAACTGCACTAAACCACTCAACCATCTTGTTGCACTCCCCTCTAAATAGGAGGCAGCCACAAACACTTCCTCGTGCGGCAAGGTAAGTTTCCACTTTACATAGACCGGCACTGGCCTCAACCATGTGCAAGGTCTTCGCCCCTCTTGTCCCCTGAAAAAGGTTTGGGAGAGGTGATGATCGTCTTTGGAACCCATTATGTTTGTCCCGGTACTCACACCATTCTGGGCTGTGGACCCTGAGGCGTAGGCTGCTGCACTAGCTGCTGCTGGGGCTGTGTACCCTGCGGCTGTGCAGGCTGTGAGACAACAGGCTGACCGCTTACGACAACCTGCGACGGAGGTTGGGAAAACACTGTCTGTACAAGAATCTGTACACTAGGACCTGCTGAGAACCCTCCTGTCAAGGGCATACCTAGGGAAGCGGCTCGGACTGATGCGGGAGTTGCATATGGGGATACCCCAGTCACCGGTGGAACAAAAGGTGGAGGTTGTACAATGGGCCAGGCACCAGGCCCGGACGGCAATGGACTTGTGTGCGCTCGCCCGACCAGAACGGCTAGACTTTGCTGAATATCTTGAAGGAGGGCCGTGTGGTGGTCCTGCATTTCTACTACTCCTAGCAGAACTGTCTGCAACATCCTCACATCTGCATCCATGTGCGTCTGGTCCATTCCCTCTAACTCACTAATGTCCGCTTGTCTCCGCTGCATCCTGGCTCTTCTTCTGATCATCTTATCTTTCTCTGCCTTAATCTCTCCTAACGCCTGTTGTAGCTGTGCCTCACGAATTGCTGCTCGCTGTATGGCGACCTCCTCGGGGGTCAACACTATAGGCTGGCTTGCCATCATGCCAGTGGACTGACTCTGGGTCTGCGCGACCGTTGACCCTACAGATCCTAAACTGCTAGCTTGGGAACTCCGTTGCGCAGCAGTTGCCATGGCTGCTGAAGCAACGGCTTCACTTGCGAATGCCCTGCTGACCTCGGTTGCCCTAGCTCTCCGCTGCTGCTGCAACCTCTCCCTAAGTTGGTTGAACAGTAACTGTTGCCCTCAGGTCCTAAGGCCAAGTGGGCTATCGGGCGTCTTGCCGATCGCAAGATCCTATCGTCCGGTTGTGGGACCTCCCTATCACTCATAGGCTACAACACTGTACACTGTCTGCACTAGGACACTCTCGATGCCTACCGCAGCATGATGTACAAACCGATTTGATATAAATAAAAATAAATAATTGGTGGCTATGTTAGAGACTACACATTTGGGTCCAACAGTTAAGTTCAGATTCCTACAAACGAAACTACTTTGACTTTGACTAGTTCGCAAACAGAAAGCACAATGAACAGTACACAGTTCTAAACTATGTTGTCTGTCAAATGTTAATGGTTGTACATCTTACTAATCAAAATAAAAATAGAATCATTAGTTGGGTCTGTTTGCATAATGGAATCTTGCCCAAACTTATCACCTGGAATCTACCCCTCCCTCAGTTCTTCGTGAATGTCTCTTGTCGTCGACGTCCCTGAGCAATCCAGAACAACGTGCGTGTCTAAAGGTGTGCACACGGCCCACCCCTGTGCCCCGAGTCCTGCTGAGCTGGCCAGCCCTGCACCGTATTTATCCTCGCGTGCAACGAGCCTTACACCGACCGATTGGTTGATCAGGAGGCGTTTTTATGGACGGCCCCCGAAGTCCTCAGGACTTATTTAACGTCGCAAACAGGACGACGATCACAGCCAATGGAAGGTCCCCGCTTGTACTTATTTATAGACGTCGGTCTCATCTTTCCCGTAGGGCTGGCCTGCCCCTCATAACCCCTCTACAGCGCAGTGAACATACAAAGGACAAAGCAGCAAAGCATGCATGCTCTACTCCCGGTGGGTTGGCATGGTGACCGTGACCCAATGCTTCGTCCAGGGCCCTTCAGATAGCACCACCCTCTCCTTTCAGATGCTCCACGTGAACACCGACGACTCTC